ATAAACTGCAAGGTATAGCTATCAAATCTTTTCTATCTGTTAAATATTTTAAAGACATACTGTTTACATCACATTAGAGCAAACCAACTGCATGTCTCATTCGATGTAAGTACTTTGTTTTCAGCATATTGTGGTGTCATATCTATTGCTTTGAAAAATTGATGCTTGTTTTTACATAATTCATAGTATCATGCCTGCTCAGATGAGTGAAAAACGTTTAATATATTCATGGTGCTACTTCTGTAACATTTTCAAGGTCAGACATTTAGTTGATGCTTGATTCTAATTCTACCAATGTCAGTATGTTCATTTTTAAAAAGGGAAATGACAAAGAATATTTTCTTAAGTGACTTTTTATGTCTGAAATGTATACAGAAAACGTGCTGGAGGCCTTACACCACTTGATTTATGTTGACTTTTCTACATGATGAGAATTTATAATCTGTATCTTATCTTGGGGAAGGAGCATAATTAATGAGAATTTTCAAAGCTATGGTCAAAAGACCCAAAGTCTTGCAAGGAATAATACTGTATTCAAGTTTGCTTTTGCTTTTACTGCCATTTGTCTCTGGGGTGAGGAGATGTGAGGAGGCAGATTTTGTGTATGTCCAACTTCCCCTCATCCTTTGGATGCTGGTTTAAGAAATCTCTACTCTATGATCAGACTGCTGCTCTCACATAAATGATAAATTACCCTAAATCTAGGGTAACAGCAATCCCCCAAGCTTCCATACCTGTGGGTGACTGGTTTTTCTTAATTGTTCTCACTGGCCCTCCAACTCCTTACTATGGATGGATGGGATACCCCATCCCCCGTGCTATGAGCTGAGAAATGTCTACCTTCATCCAGGTGTTCTTCATTAATCTCTTTTCTCTGCTATAAGTGTAACAAGTGTAGGGCTGGGAAATGCTGAAAACTCATGTTTATTGGGGAATTCAAATGATTTTCAAGTATGGAAGAGAGTAAAATTGTATGGGAATTTGTTTAACATGATTCACGATGCCTCTGAGATGGTTATAGAAACTTATTTGTGGAGGTTGTTATGCAAGTATGGAATTCCTCAGTTGTAAGAAATTAGTCTAGAGCTACTCTAATAGAAGTTGCAAATCTTAAGAAAGTCACTTGGCAGACCATATCTGTATTTAGAAATAATAGAAGTAAGTCTGCAAAATGTATCCCTTGGCATATTTTTTCTTTTATATCCTTGGTTAAACTTCAAGTGTACTTGGGAAAAGTTTCCCAAATGTACTTTTCTCTTAACTTTACCCTTGTTAACACAAACTCGGTCTCCACGCTCAGAGCTGGGAGTAAAATTAAAGCAGTAACTTGTTCTGTTTATTCAAGTGTGTTGAAATAGGACAATGCTGGAAAGGTGATCTGCACTGCCAATGTTGGACAGATGGTCTGTCTCCTGGGAGGTCTGTGTCCCTAAGCCATACAGGAGAATCTGAAAACTTAAATGAAGTTAACTTTCTTAAAAAAAAAAAAAAAGCTAAAAACAAACCCTGCATTTGTCTTTCCTTGCCACATGCTTTGGAGTTCTACCTTCAGACAGAAAAAATTATATATGAGTACAGATTTGTTTGCTTTGCTTTGCTTTGCAGTGACTTAAACCATATCTTTTATGTACTGTTATCTCTAAGAACCTAGGGAAAGAAAACTTAAAGTAGATCATAAGAAATAGAGATCAAATAAAAACTGAAATATTGTGGCTCCCATCCTCCTGTCTGCAGGTAGTACTGGCTTTAACTAAACCATTCCAAACAAATATATGCCAAATGTCTTTATTTAAAAACCTCCAGTGATGAATTTTCTTCTATTAATTACCTTTCAGAATGTTATTTTTTAGTTTTTTTATTGATTAATGTCTAGCTAAAAATGCTTCTGTCAGAAATTATACCTGTTAACCTACTGATGTACCCATAGCAGAAGTGCAACTTAATTTTCTTGTTTCAGCTCTGTGTTTTTCAAAGTTAGTGTCTCCTTTCAGCCTAGACATTTGAAATGCCTGCTCTCTTGGTGTCCAGATTGGATGGGGCCCTGGGCAGCCTGGTCTGGTATTAAATGTGGAGGTTGGTGGTCCTGCATGTGGGAGTAGGGGTTGGAGATTCATGATCCTTGAGGTCCCTTCCAACCCTGGCCATTCTGTGATTCTTACTGCCTCTTTGAGATCTTGCTCTATTACTTACCAACTTATTAAGAACTGTGCCTTAATACAGTAGTACTCCAGGGAGTTTTAACCTAAGAACCATCCACAGAAGGCCTTTCTTCAGTGTGTTTTTTTGCGATAGGAAGGAGAACAGTAACTAAGATCTTTCCTGACTGTACTCTTTAAAATAGTTTTCTCACAGATAATTCTTTAGTGTATATTTCAGCAATCAAAATGGCCCAGGAACAATTCCAGTGGGAATGGAGTGAGCATTAAGCCACTCACTTTTGAATGCTAAGGAAGCTCATAACTATAGACACAAGATGCTCCAGAACATTTTGTTGAAGTGTTTGGGAATGTTTCCAGGATCACTTAATTTGCAAGTATGATTGTTATGACTGCCATTGAAGAAATGCTCTTAGAAGTAACAACATATATTCTGTTTTCACTGAAGCTTTCTGGTTTCTTTTCAGAGAGTTTTGTGGTGAAAAACCACTTGACAGATTACTTACTGGGGAAAAAATAAGTGTAGATAAACACTTTTTAAATGTCTAATACTCAAAGACAAGTATTCAATTGTGTTCAACTTACTTGACTTGGGATTCATATTTTCTTAGTTTTAATACTGTGGTGGAAAGAAAAAAAGTTTTTCCAACACTTTTTTTTTTTTTTTTTTTTTTTTGTGAGAGGGAAAGGAGAGTCAGGGAGGAACATTTCACATCCTAGAATGGCCAAAGTGGAGGATAAATTGAAGCACAAGCCTCTATTTCTAAATAATAATTTGTAACCTGATGAGTATCTGATTTTCAAAAAGTAAGGGCCAAAAGTATTTTGGGTTAGCTTATATGTAATATCTTTCAAATACTTGCTCAAGGGAGATGTTTTAATATTTTCATTTTCAAATACATGCAGAAGTTTAGAGAGGAAAAAAATTCCTTTCTCTCCACTGTCCTTATCTTTGAATGCTTCTCTTACTGGAAGAAGATAAAAATTTATACTCAAAACATTAAACACCTTTGTTCTTTGGATGAATAGCTATAGCTTCAAATCAGAGTGGCTCAGTTTTACTTTGGATATGTATTTTGATAGATTGTGTCTCCTGATATGCATTTATATTCTACAAATTTGTAGAACTCCAGTTTTGAATGTTGATGCTTAAATGACACAAGACTGGAATTCTTTGTGCAAAGAAACAAGAGGCAGTTGTCACCAGATCTTGAAGAGGATAGTTATGATATTTGAGGTTACTATTAAAGTCTTTCTAAGTTTTTTTTTTTTTTCTTTTTTTTAAGAGTACCTTGTTTACGTATGTGAAAAACCTAAGACTTTTGAACTTGAAAGGCTTGGTAGATCACAAGCACATAGAATAAATACAGAGTTCATTTATTTTCAAAATAATTGTTTTAAAGTGGCTTCAGGAGTTTGAGGATTTGGCTAATGTTTTTTTTTGTTTGTTTGTTTTTTTAATGCTGAAGATAAAGAATATGAAAAATAAAGAATATGATTCATAACATAATCAAGTATTCTGTAAAAATGAAAAAGCATACAATGAATATATCATTGCGCTTCTTCAGTAAGTGATAACAGGACAGTTATTATGTTATTATGTCTTCACTGTGTGCTCTGTCCGGATCTAAGGTGAAGGTTGAAAGCATTCAGCCATCAAACTTGATAATGAAATCCAGTCCTCAGGGAACTCTTATTCAAGCAGAAGTGATTTTATTAGAGTGTGTGTAAGGGCAAATGAGAAATGATGCAACACCTAGAGCAATACATGATAGTGAAATTTTCTGGTCTGCATGAATCATATTGCTCTGATCAGATCTATGCTGTAATGCATTTTCACTACTTTTCATTGGAAACAACTGCAACTTTTGAAATGAAGGGTTGCCCTTCCTGTAGAATATGAAATAGTACAAGTCTCAGTGGCCTAGTCGAGGGAGGCTGGAGACTGAACTAGCTGCCATGGTTTGGTCTCCATCAGCAGGTGGATACTGCTCAGTCCTGGAAGGCGACACTTCAGGGATGTGCCTATTTTCTTTTGTTTTCTTTAAATTAATGCTTACAGAATTTGTCTAGCATGTACTTTTCCATATTCTCTTCCAGAAACGTCAAATGAACATGCTTATCACTGATTTGTGGGCTGTTATGAAATAGGTCTCTACAAGTAGCATAGCTCCTTTGTATAAGTGGGTTGTAAACACAAGGAAAATGCAGTTGGTTCTCTGAGGTGTCCAAGAACTGAACAACTGATTGTCCTGTGCAGTGACTGTCTTTGACTCTCTATTACTAAAGATTTGTCCTGATGGAAAGAATCAAACAGCATGTGTATGAATTCAGACCAATAAATAAAAATTAAAAAGTAATAATCTAGATATCCATATGTTCTAGTATAGTTTTACCAATCAATGTCCAGAATCTGTTTGGCACTTCTGTTCGTAGTTATCAAAGTAACAGAGCAGTTATAACAACATTGGTACTCTCTGGTCATCCTTAACAGATGCCATCCAAGTATTTTCTTTCTCTGACTTTCTTAGCTTAGCTACTGATGCTGTTGTGCTTCTAGCAGTTCTAAACTAGAGTCCTGTCTCACTGTTACTCTTTGGAGAAGAAAGTTCTAGAACAGATGCAATCCCTATTCTTTTGGTCTCTGTTTGGAGAGTCTGTTCTGCCTGAGTTGAAAGTTAATGTGCTGACATAGGGGCATTGTTAGGACATGGTTTGAACTGGTGACTGAGCACTGGCTGTGGTTGGCCCAGGTAGCACAGGCAGATTGTTTGCACCTGTGCTCCTCATGTGACCACAAAGGAATAGACCCAGGGTGAAACTACACTGGGCTCACATAAAGGCCAGCCACTGAAGGGAAAGCATCTCTTGGACTTATGCTACTTCCTGAGAGGAAGTGCTGCATAGCTAGAGAGCTCCTTCATCGGCTCAGTGAGTTCAGCTGTTCTTTCTGTATATGACTATTGACCTACCTGTGAATACTTTGCCTAGTATTGCTAAGAACCTGTCAGAAGGAATTTTGCTTCTTTGTGAGCAGAGCAGCTAATGTGCCAAGAGAAGGGAATAAGTCTCATCTTGTTCATTTCTAGTCATTCAAGAATCTATATGTGTTTCTGGTTATATACAGAATAAGTTGCGTTATGAAGTCTTCAGAAAGCAAGAGGCAATAGCTGTTTTCTATTCTTTGTACACAGGGTATTTTCATTTTCATATTTTTTCTCCTTACTAGTTTGCTTAGAAATTTTTGATGAATTTCAAGTCCTTTTTCATGATGTATAATCAAGAAGTGAGTTTATGAGAATGGTTTGGGTTTGTTGTTCTGTTATTCAGGTTGTGATTAGCAAGCTAGCACAGGTGAGGCTTGCTTTTTCAGTTGCATTTGGAAGAAATTTAGAGTAACTTTCCAGGTAGACTCTTTTCTGAAGTTGTCAGCTGTTAGCAAGATAAGTTGGCCTATTCAGTCTCAGGCTTCGGTGAAAGCAAACAAGATATAGCAAATATTGACTTACCACATGTCATCTCAGTAAAGTAAACGTCTGTGTTCTCTTCTTATGTGTGGCATAGGATACACTGAAAAAAAAAACCAAACATTCCAGAATTTCTTGATGCTACCTGGTGCGTTGTGTTCTGAACTATTTAAACTTTGATAAGAAGTTCACTAGATTAGTAAGTTGTTTTTTGTTGTAGTTGTGTATTTTGTTTTTTAGTTGCATCTCTTTATCTGAACTGTGAATACGCAAATACCAGTCTGAACCATTTGACTTGACTTAGAAACTTGAGCTAAACTCATTTAGATAATAAGGATAAATTTCAGATTTTTTTTTTTTTAGATTCATCTTTTCACATCAATCAAATGTCATGATGATGATTAATGCTATTAAGAAGTGTGTATTTGGTTTTCAGACTACATACTATACGTATTTTAGCAGTATACAAAAGGTATAAATAAAAAAAAAGAGACAAGTTTGTATGTTTATGTGAGTTTATTTCTATATAATAAGTGGATCAGAGTGAGAACTAATCATGTTAACTGAGAATAATTCATCATTTTTTTTATTATTGCAAAGTACCTCTAAAATGTTAGTGCAATTTCCCAGCACCTTTGGGAAATAAGTCAACAATAGCATTAATATTCTTGTTGAAATAAATAGAACATGTGTTTCATGAAGCAACATGGAATTCCTGTAAGTGCAAATGTTAAGTATATAGCATATCCAATCTGGTCTCAGAGTCTAGTTAGATTTAACTTATGTATTTTTCTGAACTAAGTTAGTGTTTTCCAAGTTAGTATTGTTATATAGTATCATAATGCTAATGATTACGTAATAATATTGTAGTATTAAGCAAATATTGTTAAAATATTAATAGATAATCTCTTAGTACAGTAAGATGACTGCATAGTGTAAAGAAGTAACAGTGAAGGTCATGCAGTTTTTGAGGAGAGTCCACACATGTATAGTTTCAATTATCTTACCAGAGAATTGTGTGCAGCCGGGTCTGTTCTGCATGGAGTGCTCTCCCAGTGGTCTTGGGGCAGGTCCCAAAGGTCATGGCATCATCTGGAACTGGCTGCCTCCCTGAAATCTTGTCTGGATCTTCTCCTGTTCTGCTCCTGGGGAGGCAGTAGCACAGTAGTTATGTTTAAGGGAAAGGATGGGTTTAACTTTGAAATGATAAATATGTTCTTGATCCTATCCTAGTTTCCAGTTATGCTCATGCTGCAAAATCATTGCTTTCAGAGGGAAGGCGCTGACTGAGAAGACTTGCGTTTCCCACATGAAGTGGGAACTAAGACTAGGGGCTCCACTAGCTTCTCCTGCTATTTACTGTGTTAGATATTTACAGTATTTTATCCCTTGATATTCCACAGATAGCTAGCTCAGATGAAGTTGCTTTTGTTTAAAGTTTATAGCATTGATATCTGACAAGAAATGGGCACTTCAGTTCCTTTCCTTCTTTCTTGATTGCTGCAGGAAATTTACTGTTTCTTTTCCCTGTCAGGCGGCACAGAGAGAGTGCAGTTCCCACTGCTGCATTCATCTGCATTCATCACAAGCATTCATGCATATCTCTAAGCACCACTGATGAATTACATAAGGGTACAGTGTAATTTCATAACAGTTTATTATATACCATATGGAATTTTCTAATGGCTATAGGATGAAAAGTAGCCAAGAAGGATATCCAGATCCTAATCTCGTCTTTACTAGACATAAAACCTGTTTGACATATTGGCTCTCTTTCTGATTTAGAATTGGAAATGAGGAGGCCTTTCCTTTGTCATCGGCTCATATAAGCACTGCAAGGTATTGTGTAAAGTTGAGATTGTAGTGGGAACTGTTCAAAGACCTGGAATGACTACCGAAATAATTATTGTTGGTTGCGTAAAAATATACTTTGTACAGCTTCAAAAATGTAATGAAGATGCTGAACTTTTAAAATTCTGCTATGTCTGTAATTCCTTTCCTTTGTAGCTGGATAAAAAAAAAAAAAGGAAAGAAACAGTTACAGTAAGTACTGTAGTTTTTATTCTTTCAACAGAAGGATGGGATTATTTCAACTTTTGTATTAAAAAACCCTCACACATTAAATGAATGGCATTAAAGTGACATATTAATAACTTGGAGCTAGCAATTTCATTTCCTAGTGCCTACTTTGAGTCCTCATGGTCTAATACATCTTAACTTCAAAGCAGTTTCTTCAGGATACAGGAATGGAGTTTGAGTGTGATTTCAACAATAACAATTGCTTCTGACTTTGATAATTGCTTATACATGCAAGGACAGTTCTGCCTGTCTTTTTTTTTTTTTTTTTTTTTTTTTTAATTCCCTCCTGCCCCTCTGCTTTTTGAAAAGCTTTATAGTTGAAGAGATTGCATGGACTGATTTTATGGATGGTGATGTGTGAAAATAAACACTGTTACAACATTTGATCAAAATATTTCTGTTTCTCAATGTAACAAACAGGATAAAGGATGAGTGCAAATTCTGCTCCAAGTGATAACAATTTTAATTAAAAACAGTGTTAAACTCATCTCATGAAGAAAGGGGCTAACGTTTTTATAAACAGGTCTTATTAGCGTATTCCTCTTACCTGAAATAAGAGTGGCTTTTATTCACCATGCTCCTTACCTCTTCTGTTTAACTTTGCAGTTACAGCCTGATTCATTCGATTTGATTGCTGCTGTAATGTGCACCGTGTGTTGCCTTTGCTTGGGGTGCCAGTTGCTTTAGCGAGATTAAGATCCCAGGAAGATGCTCAATGCTACTGCAAGGCTAAGAGATCATGTGTGGGCACCAGAGAGCATAGAATCCATGGCAGGTATGTGAAATCTCAGCTCTAGAAGAGAGAAGCAAATGACTGCCCCCCGGATCGTGTAGTTCCTTTCTAAGCAGCCGAGGAGAATTCCTAATACTTTTAGAACAAATTTGTGCACCTTTCAGGTAATACATCAGGAAGTTCCTCTGTTCCTGTGAGAGTAGTCACAATTTATTTAAATTCAATACTTATTATTATTCATGCTTCACTGCAAGCACTGGATGTAAGTAAAGGTATAATATTTGGCAAAATTGTTTGATTTCTTACTTCTTCAGTAAAAACTCTTTCCCTTCCTATAGCTAGGTGTATTTATCTCAGCTTCTTTATGAAGGAATTAATCCATTTATTCAGTATTTAAACTATAAGAACAAAAGACTATTTTTTAGGCTAAGCGAACCAGCAAAACAATTATGTAATGCAAATAAAAAGATTTCTGTTGACCATGTTGTTCTTCTCTAAGCTGCAGCATCTGTGTCCCATCAATTAATGCTGAAGTAATTTTTTAGCGCTCACTTTTACATTGTATGGCATTATAATAATTATTATTTTAACTAGGGTATTGTATAGCTCTGGGAATTGATGGTGAAAGATGCATTTTATGTTTTAAATGATGTCAAGAGCAAGAATACTTTATAGGTTAAGTGAGACGATTTGCAATTTTGCAACATCCATTTCCTGTAGGTAATGTCTGTATCTCAAGAGTTGACCTTGTTTTTAACTCCAAGATTTAGGAGAAAGCTGGAGGACACTCAACCTTAAACCTGAATTAACATCACATTCTCTACTTCAAAGTGAAGAAAAAGGTATTTGTTATTGGTGATACTGCTGAATGTACCTATAATCAGGTGAAATTTGTATACTGGCCTTCAGCTTTTCTTCACAGTTATTGATTCACCCTTGAAAACTAGATTGAGACTACAGAACACAGAAAATCCCATTCCAAGTTAATGATGTGGATTTCCATCATTAAAATGAATGTCAGAAAACTTAATCCATTTGCTGTATTGATTTGCTAATGAGAACTCTTCTGTATTCTCCTGTGAATGTTACTTGTTTTGTACATTGGCAAAGCTCATGACCCTGACTGATCTGGAGATGATAGCTATTCTCAACAGGATTTTTTCTAATTCATTACAAGTTTGTATGAAAGAAACTACTTTTTTTCTGAAGAATTGCTGTTTCCTGAGCTTTGCCTTCTAATAATTAAGAAGTGAAGCTGAAAGAAAATATGGAATAATTTACAGACCATCAGTTTTGCAATTAGAAAAAATACATCTTCTTTGACAAGTTGTATTTGTCAACAAGACAAAGCACACCCGAAAATGCATTTTATGTGCAGAAAGAAGCTCTTGTCTTTTCTTTCTGTCACCTATGGGAAAACATTCTGTTATAGTCTTTGACGTCCTTTAAAATTAAGTTGTTGCCTTGACTGAAATGCCTGCATGAGAAAGGAAGAAATCTTTTAGGTAATGAGTTATGAGCTTTGTTTTGTTACAGAGAGGATTGTGCAAAAGTTTGCAAAAGTTGAGGCATATATATATGTTATATAATAAAAAATATATAAGATACATGTATCTTATATATATATATATAATACATATATTACATATATATATTAAGAAAATACACGTTTTAAACCAACTCAGTAAACCTTTTTTTTTGATTGCATTTGGCTTTTCTGTAAAGCAATTGATATAGGAATTTATATATGGACAATATATGGAATAGTAAGAATTATCAACAGGAGGCTTTTCTACTTTCACTGATGGCTTGTTATTGTCTCACAGAGCCTGAAGAAGAACATTTGTCTTGTTTTAATTTCCAGATCTTCAAATGAAGAAAGAAATGCATTCAGAACCTTCAATTTCATGATAGCAAGAAAAAATGGAAAACTCATTGTGACCTTACTTATTCTTTGTGACTTTATGACTTACAAAATATTAAAATTCTATCAGTTTATTGCTTGGAATATTAGAAGCCAGTTCTTTGGCTTGGCATAAGCAGTACGTGTTCTCAAGGAGCACACTTGCTTGTGGAGAATGCACATTTGTTACTTGATCTGCTCAGGCCCTTTGTTTTTTACCTCCTCTCTCCTTTCAGCAGTTGCAAAATACATTTGGGAATAAGTATGTTTCTCACAAGCCACATGGTATGCCCCGTATTTTTGGCAGAATACCTGCTGTGCACTTAATCACTGTGAAATCTCCCTTGGCCCTTATTCTGCTCCATGAACAGAAGATAATCTACCATGTAACTGGATGGATATAGGGGGGGAAAAAAAACCTTGTTTGATAAAACTGTAAAATTCTAAAATACTGCAACAGTCAAAAGCCTCTTTTAGATATAGTATGATTCTCATACTTTTGAGGACAAGTCAGTGCTGTCATCCGATTTCCTTTTCATCTCAGAAAACATTCTTTTGCTGTGTGGGGGACAGAGCACTGGCACAGGTTAGCCAGACAAAACATGAGTCTCCTTTGGAGATCTTCAAAAGACAGACATGGAATCCAGACATGGGCCTGTGCACCCTGCTCTAGCTGTCCCTGCTTGAGCAGCAGGTTGGACCAGATGGATCCAGAGGTCACTTCTAACCTCAACCAGTCTTCACCTCCTCCTGGAAACAGGTATGCGTTCCCTTACTTTTTCACATGAAACAGTCATAGCAAGAACAATTGCTCCAAATACCTTGGGGGGGGGAAAAAAAACATAAAGCTTATCCATACAACTTTTTTTGAGGAGATCTCTCAGACTGTATTGAAATAAGTTACTACTGCATAGTAATGATATTTTTATACTGCCTGGATGTACTTTATCCAGGCCTCTCTTTCATGAGGCATGTCTGATGTAAAGAATAGAACTGAAGAGATAATATTTCTCTATTTAGGGCTGCCCTTCCTGGAGTGGGACATAGTGTTTGCTATTACACCTGCATTCTTGACGGTTGAGTGTGTTTTAATTTTACTCTAGTCAACATATTTCTAAATAAACAAATACTTACATGTCTAAAAAGCTGCAGAGTGAAATAGCGTTTCCTTCAGTGGATACTTGAGATGGAAAAGCTAGGAGAAAGTGGTAATAGGAGGAGGTCAAGATACTACAGTACAGACTACTACAGTAGTTTGATTACAACAAATTGTGTTGGCCCTGTTGTTTATGAAGACTTCATACAATAATAGTGAGGCTAGAACTAAGGAATCCTTTCTTTTCACTGTACATCACTCCTCTCAAAAAGTTTCAACTCCAATTAATTACATGGTCTGGTGAGTTGTTCTTGCAACACTATGGTACTTTGTTAGGTATTTGGATGTATTGTCATCAGCTAGAAGACAAACTGTATAACACCTGTATGAATCTTATAATCCATTCAGTATGGAGAGCAATAAAATTTCTGGTACATATGTGTACATATGTATTTAGTTCATTAAACCAGTACACATCAGTTTCCTTATAATAGATGATTTATTTGCAGGAATGATTTAATTTTATTTAACTTAATTTTTGTCTAAAATATGAGGTTTCACTCATTATAAAAAATATTGAAACACATCTTCTATACTTTCTCAGTCTCTGCATACCCTCTAAATTTTTAAGCATCAAGATATGTAAGCAGAAAGAGGACATAAACAATAACAAATGAATTAATGCATTCCAGATTAATTTCCCTTAAGAAATATCTGGTAAGCTTTCATTGCTTTTAAAATAAAAATTATTTAATTTTAAACAAGTATTTCCAGGCAGTAAGCGAAATGAAAAGTTTTCATAGGAAGATTTTATTTTCATACCAAAAGATTTGTATTTTTTTCTCAGGATTGAAAATTGCCGAACCTAGGAATGAAAATAAAGATCCTCCTGATTGTAGTAAACACTTCCTTGCAGGTGGGCCATACATCCTCTCTGCTGGAGCAGACTAATTCTGTTTACAAATTTATCTATGTAAAATTTCTTGCACTGAACTGATTATTTGGTGCAGTGATATCAACAGGATTAGTAGTTCACCAGGTTTGCTTTTATTGAATTGAACAATGGTTTTGCATATAAGTAGTTTAGGAAATCAATGCTTTCTTTCTAGCCTCTATTGATCCATATATACAGTAAGTATTGTGTGTCAGATATACTGTCCTGTTAGGTCATAGAATCACAGAATTGTTTCACTTGGAAGGGACCTTTAAAGGTCAGCTAGTCCAGCTCTCCCACAATAAACAGGGATGCCTACAGCTACATGAGGGTGCCCACAACCTGGTCTAGCCTGGTCTTGAAATTCTGTAGGGACAGGGCATGAACCACAGCTCTTGGCAACCTGTTCCGGTGCCTCACTACCCTTACTGTAAAAAAACAAAAACAAAAAACCAAAAAAAAAAAAAAAAAAAAAAAACAAAAAACAAACAAACAAACAAAAAAAACACCCCACTTATTCCTTATATCCAATCTAATCTACCCTCCTTAAGTTTGAAAACCTTGTCCTGTCACAACAGACCCTGCTAAAGTGTCTATCCTCTTCTTCCTTATAGGCCCTCTTTAAATACTGGAAGGGTGCTATCAGGTCATCGTGAAACCTTCCCTTCTTCAGGCTGAACAGCTCCTGCTCTTTTAGCCTGTCCTTGCAGGAGAGGTATTTCATCCCTCGAATCATTTTTGTGGCCCTCCTCTGGATTGGCTCCAACAGGTCTATGTCTCTCTTCTACTGAGTACTTTATTTTTGGACACAGTACTCAAGATGAGTTCTCAGCAGCACAGAGTAGAGGGGCAGAATTATCTCCCTTGTCCTGCTGCCATGCTTGTTTTGATGCAGCATAGGATATGGTTGGCTTTCTGGTCTGTTGGCCTTCTAGGCTGTGAAGGCACACTTCTGGCTTGTGTCCAGTTTGCCATCCATAAGTAACCCCCACATCCTTTTCAGAAGGGCTGTACTCCCTCCTTTCATCCCCCATCTTGTACTGGCAGCTGAGGTTGCCACAACCCAGGTGCAAGACCTTATGCTTGGATTTGTTGAAATTTGTGAGTTTCACTTGGGCCCACTGCTTGAGCCTATCTAGATCTTTCTGGATGGCATTCCATCCCTCTATTTTGTTCAAATGGACTACGTAGCTTGATGTCATCTGCAAACTTGCTGAGGGTGTACTTGATCCCACTGTTGAAGTCATTTAATGAAGGCAGGTTTCCTAGAGAGGTTCTTGGTGCCTCTTGCCTGTCAGTGTAAAGGAACCACTAGAACAATGCCCCCAAGAATGTGCTTTATCTTTTGTTTAGCCCTGAAATGGTTAGGCAATTGGACTTAATCTTTATAGGTCTCTTCCAGCTACACAATACTATGCAATTCACAGCTTCTCCTGAAAATCCAGAGTCTCTTCAGCAGGTGATCTATGCTGAAAGGTTGGTGTCTTTAGCAGTCGTATGACCCTGAAATATCTATTACTTTGTCTCATCACTACCAATGCTTATCTTGCATAATTTTTTGTATAAAATCTAGCAATTATGTTAATGTAGTCAAAGGAAGTACACAGCTTTAGCAGTTTTTTCATATTTTTTTAAAACAGAAGGATGATATTCATCTTATGAATACATTTTTAATTTCATCATGTGACTTTCTTCATGCATTGAACTCAAAGCCAGCATGCTTTTTCCACCAAGCAGTCCTCCCAGATAGACGACAGAGCAATATTTACCTCATCTGATCTCTGTTGCAAGTCTGATGGTAGCCTAAAATGCTCCGTTTTGCACCTGATATAGCCATCACCCATCTTGAAAATAAATTGTCCTAATCAATATCAGTGATCGACAGATCTGTGGCAGGTGCTCATGTAAAGAATCCCTCATATGCTCTGCTTGCCATGATGAATCACAGAGGGTCTATGGTCCTGCCTTGTCAACACAGCATCTTGATTGTTTAAGAAAGAATTACTAGAACACTCATTTTTCAATGTACGTAATGAAATAACTTTAAAGTCTTCATAGAAAACACTTTTCCTTCTTTGCTTTTTCCTGTTGTCAGTTCAGTATCCCAAATGTTTGAAATCTAAAGCATTCTTGCTTTTGGGTGCATAAATACGCTACCACAGTGGTCCTCTCCAGGCTGATTGATGATGAGATGTCAGTGTCTTTTTAATTCCAGTCACTGTATAATTTTTGCAGTTTAAAAGATTAGTTTCTAGTAGAGAAAAATTACAGATTGTTCAAGTTTCAACACTGCTTGTAAACGTACCCCACAGGTGTTCAATATGCCTCCATATTTATGCTCTTCAAGCTTGAATATATTTTGTCTCACTGCACCACTCACTCTAACACAAATATGAAGCATGGAAAAAATATGCTTGTAGTCATGCCATAAAGCTGAGCATACCAGAAATTTTAGTCTAAGAAGGTGATATTCCAAACCAATTATTGAACATTTGTGTAGTAGAAATGCAAGTATTTAAGTACTCCAGGCAAATTCAGTTTTAAAATACTTGGGAAATTATGGGGTACTTGTATGGTTATGTGGTTTAGAAGTACACAGCTGCCTAAAATTTATGCACTACTTATTCAGAGATTCATACTAGACATCAAATTTTTATTTTCCACTATGTTCAGAAGACTGCTTAAAGCAACTGTAGGAATTTCTATCTATAAATAAAAATATTTTTATAAAAATGAATATATATCACTCTTATATAACACATATGTAAAATGTTTAAATATACTGTATATTATATGTAGAGTAATTGCCTTTCATAATTCTGGTATTTTTCACTGCTTTTTCTTTGAATTATCAATTAAAAAGTCAATAATAATAATAATAAATTAATTAAAAAAAAAAAAAAACAAATAGCACAATCTAACCAAAAAGAAATATAAAACATGATGGGACAAGAAAGGACAATGAAGTTGTCAGGCTGGCAGCATCTGGGCTCTGTGACCTTGCAGCTCTATTCACAGTACTTATAGTATATGACTGAATTGGGTGTTTGAAAATTAGTATTGTCAAAAGCTATTATGAGTTACCTCTTGATTTGCTACTTATATTCATTACTCTAAATGCTGTGGAAGGGCAAATACAGACTGCTTAAAAATTAATATAGGTCTGACTGTTTGACTAGTGAAATATAGATGTGACAAAAGCTTTTGTGAATCTCTTTTATGTTGTTGACATCATCGCTTCTGTGCAGCTGTTTTGTGATTCAAGTAGTTTCTTGCAACTCTAGTTAGAGGTAGTATAAGATAGAGTTAATGTTCAGACTCACAGATCTTTTGAATGTTTT